GGGAGAAGCGAAGGTAGGGGACGAGACTCTCGACGGCGGCGACAAGATCGCCCCGGGAGGAACAGAACCCTAGCGAGAGGGAAACAATCACCGAATTTCAATAAATAAATACTAGTAAACGAAATTCGAAAAACAGGCAGCCCAGACATGGGTCGGCCCAATCGGGCGCGCTGTGTCTTCTCCCAGCATGCAGAGCATAATATAGGAGGTCCCTATTGCATGGGCCGGTCCAATCGGGAGAGTTCCCCTATGTGAAACTTTTTTATCACTTAGGTAGCATTAGTGGGTAATATTTTGCAATTTTGGGGTAATTTTCGTGACGCACAGGAAGAAGCGATAGCCCTTTTATAGCCTCTTTATTTATTTATTTATAGAGATAGGTATAGATTAGGTATATAGATACAGTAATAGATATGAATTAGTAGGTGTAGATATAGTTATAGATTGGTGCGATACGAAAGATTGAACATTTATAACAGCAAATATATGATCAAATCATCGGTGTTATACGACAGATTGAGCATTTATAACAGCAAATATACGAAATAACCGAGAAATACAGCCCAAAGCATTTTCCGCCAGTACCAGATGCTATTTATACACCACGGTTACCATCCCATTGCGTTGCTTCCAACAGATCGTGGCATGCATCTTGCCGGGCGATAGTGTTGCTTCCTCCCAGCTTGACTGACTCCACCAACTTCGCTGACAAAGCCGATTCAGCCATGTCCGGCGATGGCCAGAGCGGCTCCGCAAGGGTGCACTTCGTGCTGGTCCCGATGATGGCGCAGGGTCACATCATCCCCATGACCGACATGGCGAGCCTGCTGGCCGAGCACGGCGCGCAGGTCACCTTCATCACCACGCCAGTGAACGCGTCCAGGTTGGCGAGCTTTGCCGCCCACATGGAGGAGACAGGCCTGGCGGTCCGGCTCGTGGAGCTCCATTTCCCGGCAGCCAAGTTTGGCCTACCGGACGGGTGCGAGAACATAGACATGATCCAATCAAAGGATCTGCTGTCGAACTTCTTGGAGGCATGCGCCGCGCTTCGGGAGCCGCTCAAAGCACACCTCAGTGAGCAGCAGCTGCCGCCTCCGAGCTGCATCATATCTGACACGATGCATTGGTGGACCGGTGATGTCGCAAGAGAGCTTGGTATCCCGAGGCTCACCTTTAGAGGCTTCTGTGGCTTCTCGTCCCTTGTCAGGTACAATCATAACTCATAAGAGGGAAATCCCGTCAGTAGTTAATTTTGTACCGGGCAAATTAGCTGTGCTATTACCATCTTTAGTTTTGCAGATCAATTGCAGTTTGTTGACGTTTAAGCCTGCATTTTTATGCAATTTTAACAACTATTGCCATCTTGCAGTTACATCATTTGCCGCGACAACTTATTGAAACACGTCACAGATGAGAATGAGCTCATTACGATCCCAGGGTTCCCTACACCACTGGAGTTGGAAAAGGCTAAATGCCCTGGAGGCATTCCCATTCCAGGTATGGAGCAAATTCGTGAGAAGATCTATCAAGAGGAGCTGAGATGCGATGGCGTAGTCCTTAACAGCTTCAAAGAGCTGGAGACATTGCATATCGAATCCTTTGAGCAGGTGACAAGGAAGAAAGTATGGACGGTCGGGCCAATGTGCCTCTGCCACCAAAACAGCAGCACAATCGCCGCAAGAGGAAACAAGGCGCCAATAGATGAGGCAGAGTGCTTGCAGTGGCTTGATTCAATGAAGCCAGGCTCAGTGATCTTTGTCAGCTTTGGCAGCCTCACCTGCACTGCACCTCAGCAACTTATTGAGCTCGGCCTGGGACTTGAAGCCACCAAGAAACCATTCATTTGGGTGATCAAAGCGGGAGATAAGTTTCCAGAAGTTGAGGAATGGCTCTCAGATGGCTTCGAGGAACGCGTCAAAGAGAGAGGCATGATCATAAGGGGCTGGGCACCACAGGTGATGATCCTGTGGCACCAAGCCATTGGAGGATTCATGACACACTGTGGGTGGAACTCAACAATAGAGAGCATCTGTGCTGGTGTGCCCATGATCACATGGCCACACTTCGCGGAGCAGTTTGCAAACGAGAAGTTGGTGGTGGATGTGCTGAACATTGGGGTGGAGGTTGGAGTGGAAGGAGTTACACGGTGGGGACATGAACACAAAGAGGCTATGGTTACAAGAAATGATGTGGAGAGAGCAGTGTACGCCCTGATGGATGAGGGGAAAGCTCAAGAGCAGTTCCGGGTGAGAGCAAAAGACTGTGCCATCAAGGCAAGGAGGGCTTTCGATGAGGAAGGTTCTTCATATAACAACATAAAGCTACTGATTCAAGAAATGGGAAACAAGACGAATGCATGTGGTTGATGCACATGGTGTAAACTTAATAAAGAAATTTATTTTCCAAATAACCAGTAGCTTGTATCAGGGTCACTGGTGGTGGCCTAATTGTTTAGAGATTAGGCATGGTCCAAATGAGTTGACAGCAATATCGATTATCCATACTGTTACACAGGTTCCCTGGCAGTCAATATAATGTTACACACAGTCTGATTTTCCAGATGTTATGTTCTCCCTTCCCTTTGTTTCCCACTAGCTCATCAGAGTTAATAAGAGTTGGAAAAGGGAAAAAAATAAAATAATATGTATGCACACAGTCAAAACTGACACTGAAAACAAGAGGTAATTCAAGGTGAATAATCGAAAGAAAAGAAGGAATTAGAACCAGCATAAAGTGCACAAGAAATTAGAAGCTTATGTTTGACTTAGTGTGGCGAACATTAAGTTTCAAGGATCTCTCCCATCCTAATCCTAAAAAAAGGTTTGGGGAGGGCCAAACTCAAGATTAATGAGGAAAGCAATTACTTCAGGTGCCACATTCCTGCTAAATATGCACTTTAACCTTCTAAATATTTTTTTCGGATAAAAGTATGTATTTACTCCCTCCGTACCAAAATATAAGACGTTTTTGCACTTCAATGTGAACTGCAAAAACGTCCTATACTTTGATACGGAGGTATCTAACAGCTGTGGGCACAAAGATGTGTGAATAACTTATACTGAGCGTCTAAATAGAGAGGCTGTTCCACAAAATGTTTCAAGATTTACTGAGCAACTATGAACAAGAATGGTGAAATATTCTACAATCAAAGCAGGTCAATGTTTTGAGTTCATTACAAATTCAACTACCAACTAGGCAACGGGATTGAACATATGAAAGCTGCAGATTGGTGGAAATAGAACGAACCTGGTTTCACTAAGCACCAAACAGTAAAGCTTCAGCAAACACCCAGATTTGCTACCAAGTGAATGGCAGAACGCTGTTGCACAATGATCATCAGCTTCAGGCCAGAAGTTAAATAATGTTACTCAAAGAATTTCCCCACTGAAACTTTCTGCAGAGCCAGTGAATCATGTATAACATGTTGGTGAAAGAAAATTGAGAAGACCAGACAAATTCCTTTGGACTAATAAAATATAAGAATTGAATTGGAACCCCTCTCAAATAACAGTCTAAGAACAACAAATTACTCAGAGGAGCAGAGCAAAACCTACAAAAAGAATACAGATTGCATGACATGCAATAACTCACCTTTCTTTTAATAGAAGTTGTGCCAAACTGTCAATATAACAATCATCATTCAGCAACAGAGAAGATTAGACCAAGATGTTTGGGGATGATCCCAAATGAGAACTTCACATGTATGGCCTCCATTGGTGTGAGAATACTGTCATAATTATCACTTCGTCCTCAGAAGTACAGATTTGCAGCCAGTGCATCATTTGAAATGAAAAATGCTTGTTAATCATTGAGTGACTTTAGGACAACTGATATTGCCTTGTTTTACATCATCGATGCATGATGGGTTACCAATAGTCCTTACAAGAGCACAGTCCATGTCTAAAATGTTGGAAGCGTGTCCTGTCTCTCACAACAATCTCTCTCATATATAACTTGGTGATCAACTTAATTGCATTGTGGCAATCCAAACACATCCTCAAGTTTTTCACGATCCTTATTGTCACGCTGGATTTTGATACGAGTAATGCAAAAGCGACAGCCAACTTTTCGCTGTGCCAATAAAGAACTTTTTGTTTTTCTTCTTCTGTGACTTGAACAAAGACCTCGGTTACATCAGGTACATACCCATCATTCTTCAAATCCGTGAGTACCTTGTCCAATTTAGAATAGATTTCTTCACTCATAGGATGAGATCTATCGCCAGCTACAAATTCGTGAATTGTGCCGTTCATTTCAACAAGACTGCAACCAGGCTCTTTCTTGATTCCTTTCTCCATCATTAATTGCCTAAGCCACCGAACATCTCCCCATCTATTCGATTTTGCATACAGATTGGACAAAAGGACGTAAGCCATGCTGTTCTCAGGATCCAACTCAAGGAGACGTTCTGCTGCCAATTCACCCATCTCTGAGTTACCATGGACCCTACAAGCTGCCAGCAGGGTCCCCCAAATTGCAGAGTTGGGTTTCATGGGCATTTTACCTATTGTCTCCAATGCTTCTCTTAGTTTTCCAGCTCGCCCAAGGAGGTCGATTATGCATCCATAGTGCATCACATTAGGAGCAATCCTGTAGGTCCCAGTCATGCTGAGAAAGAAGTCTCGTCCTTTGTCAATCAAACCAGAATGAGTACATGCAGTGAGAACGCCAATGAAGGTCACCTCGTCTGGAACTTCAAACACCCTAAGCATCCTGTCAAACATATCGATAGCCTCCTCACCATGGCCATTCACTGCAAGACCAAGTATAACAGCGGTCCAAGTAAATTTATCTCTACTGTGCATCTCATTGAACACGTCCATTGCCCTCCCGATGCTCCCACACTTTGAATACATGTCTATGAGCGCATTCCCGACAAAAGTATCCATCTTGATCCCATGTCTGTTCATGTAAAGTCTAGCCCACTCCCCTGTCTCTAAAGCACCAAGCTGCGCGCATGCCGTGACTATGCTGACCATGGTGAACTCGTCTGCCCTCACCTTGCTAAGTTGCATCTCACGAAACATCTCCAATGCCTCTCGGAACTGGCCAGCTTGTACATAACCATCAATCATTGCAGTCCATGAGACGGTGTCCCTCTCAGGCATACGATCAAACAGTACTCTGGCTCGATCAACCTGGCCTAGTCTTACACACCCATAGATCACCGATGTCCACGACACAATGTTCCTCACCTGCATGCTGTCAAACAAATCCCAAGCTGCTTCCATCTCTCCACACTCGGCATACATATCAACGAGCGCATTCTCCACCTTGAGGTCAGGCAACACCCCACTCTCAATGACGCGCTTGTGCAGCTGCATTCCGAGCAGGACGTCGTTGCCTTGGCCGCATGCTGACAGCACCGTGATGTAGGTGACCGGCGTGGCCACAATGCCAGCCCTCACCATATCCAGGAAAGAGCAGCATGACAGCCTGAACTGCCTGCTTCTCTTGTGTAGAAGGACAAGTTATGGGCTGTGCAATCTCGATGTATTGATCGGTGCACCAGGCACGTATATATAAGTACAGAGGTGGGTCAC